ATTTATATGATTTTCATCTGTGGCCCCTGGGGACTCCCAGGGACCATATGGCCCCTAGATGAGAAAGTTCACCAATTTTTAAGAATTGATACACAGATCAGATCTCTCTTAAGCTGTATTACGTGGGCAGTTTCTTGAAAGAGGAAGGATTTGAGCAAAGAAAATATCCAGATTTTCCTTTAGTCTTTGCTAACAACTTTATTTTAAGGTCCCCAGGCCACAAGTGTGAATAGGGAGGGAACAAGCATTACAAAATGAGAGGGAAAAATATATGCATATGAACTACTTAAAATACATACTCTAGAAAATACAAATATTTAGGCTGAAGGGATAATACAGTAGAAAAGGCACTTGCCATGCATGTTGCTGACTGGGTTAGATTTTTTGGTACTGTATATGGTCCCCTGAGCTCCACTAGGAGTGATCCCTGAGCACAGAGTAAGCTCTGAGCAAAGAGTAAGCCTGAGCACAGCTGGGTGAGGCCCAAAAACCAGCTAACCAAGCAAACAAAAACTTCTCAGTCCAAAAAAGAGTAGTATTTTTTCCTTTGCATTCTGAGAATAATTTCTAAGTATATTTTATGCACTCAATAAAAAACAAAAAGTTTTTTAAAAAACAAACGAAAGTGCCCAAAACAAAAAAGTTCAAAATTGTCTTTTTATTTTAACCTCACATCAAAAAACTGAGAAACTTGGAAAGCACCTTAACCCTCCAAGCCAAAAGGTTGAGGGGCCGGAGAGACAGTACAGTGGTTAAGGGACTTGCCTTCATGGAGCCAACCTGGGCTCAATCCCTGGAATCCCATGTGGTCCCCTGAGCACCTGCAGGAGTAATTCCTGAGTGCAGAGCTGTGAGTAACCTTGAGCATCGCTGGGTGAGGCCCCATAACAAAACAACCCCCTCCTCCCAAAAAAAGCCTTCCCCCAAACCTCTTGGTCTCATGGCTCCTTTGTCTTTTTTGTTTTTCGGGGGGCCTCCCAAGATTGTTTTCGGGAGGCCTTCGTGTCTGGGAGTGTTTCTGCTGATTTTCTGCTGGTCCGTGGATCAATATAAGGACCTGGACATGTGGTGCTGCTCAGGTCCTGCAGTACCAGGAATCGTCCAGCACATGTCTGAAGTGCTGGAGTGGGGCCGAAGGATGCTCTGGATGTTGTGATGCTGGGGATCAGACTGGGATATGCTGCATACAAGACATACACCTTAACATGTATTGATGGTTGTGGCTCATTCACATAACTAAAACTATCCCTTGCTCAGGGTTTTGAGATATCACCACTCACAGAATTTAGAGCATTTCACTACATCTAAGACGTACATTGTTTTGATGTTTTTCAACAGTCCTGAAGTCAGAAAGCAGCTTGTAATCAATGGTGCTTCAGGGTAGCTGGCTGCATGGACAAGCAGAAACACGCACATCACAGCTTTTGTACTATTAGTGCTTACTACATACATGCAGATGGATACCACATAAAGTTTCTTGTAACGAGTGATAGCGTAAAAAGTGGCAAAATGTAGTGGGCACATAACTTCTTTGTATTATTTAAAAGCCTCGGTAAGCCTAAAATGATCTCAAAATAAAAAGGTAAAACATGTCTTTTAAAAAACTACACTAAAATTCAGCATTAAAGCAGACATTTATTATGTAGGCAGCAAGTCACAAAAGCAGAGCAGCGGAGAGGAAGTTGGTATTATTACAGCAAATTTTCAACAGTGAAACTGCATTTTCACATTTTTCTCATGGAGCATTTTACAGGAACACATAAAGTTGAGTGACACATTTTTTTATCTGAGATATATGAAAAGAGATGCCGCTCAAGCCAAGCCAGGACACTGAAAATGGAAAAGATTGTCAATTCCTTGGTTGAAAGTGATTTCAAGACAGAGGCTAATACATAAGACAATCAACAAAAATCACTTGACTTTGCTGCAGACTTTTCTTTTATAGCATAAAAAGACAAGTGAAGTTACCAAATTGATAGCACTTTATAATTGATTAGCAATGAAAAATGTAGTATTTGGCAGGGTGATGAATTCATACGGTTATCATCATAAATTTATTTTACTGCCCTTTGCTCTGGGATCTGGGCTTAGAGCAGCTGTGTTCTCACCTAATGAAAATTCAGTGTTCTGACCATGAAAATGACAAAACAATGCGATAGGGGTCAGAGATTTGGCTCAAGTAATAGAGCACATGCCTCAAATGTACAGCCCTGGGTTGGTTCTCTGACATCTCGCGGCTTCCCTAGTTTCATTAGCACCACTGGGTTCAGCCCCAGTGACCACAGAGCTCCTCAAGCATGACCTCCATGGTGAAAAATAAGATTAAAACTCTCAGCATTCTAAGTTCCACAAATGTGAGACTACGTATCATGTTAATGGCTGCAGCCTTGACTCTGATGGGTCTGATGAATGAGAGTACCATGGAAATAGTCGCTACATTCACAAACCAATGATATACTGGAGTGGGACAGACTCCAGCAAAAGCAGACTTATGCAGATCTCCATTCTTTCAGAATGCAAAGAGTTAGGTCAAAGGATCTTTTGAACTTCATTATCTCTTCTACTCTGAATTCGTGTGTCGCATTAAAAAATAGTTTTGGGGGGCACACCCTGTGGGCCACTCCCTCTGGTGCTGGTGTGCCACCAGGACCATACCCAACAGTGCTGGAGGAGAGAGTCAGGAGGGAGGTTGTTCCTTGCAGTGCCAGGGTCCAAACCTAGGGCTTTGAACCTGAAAGCAAGTGTGCTACCAATTGAGTCAAACCTGTGCTCTCTATGTACTACATTTTTTTTCCTTTTTGGGTCACACCAGGCGATGCTCAGGGGTTACTCCTGGCTCTGCACTCAGGAATTACTCCTGGCAGTGCTCGGGGAGACCATATGGGATGCTGGGAATTGAACCCTGGTCAATCGCATGCAAGGCAAATGTCCTACCCGCTGTGCTATGGCTCCAGCCCCGTATGTACTATTTTTAATGTAGATGTTTCAAAGACTTCTTATCATTCTTTTCAGACAAATGTTAACTTTTAACCAAATGGTTGCAGAAGCCTGTCAACTCTGCTTTACCACTGATCAGTGACAGAAGTGACAGAGCTAGTTCCTCTCCAAGCAACGCCCAGCTCCACCCCCTATGAGGTCTGACTGCAAGTGGAAAAGCAGGTGCAAGAAGTCTTGATGGTGTGCCCAAGGACAGGCAGAGAACTCCTGCTTGACCTTACATGACCTCTAGTGTTCTCACACTGGTTCTGCCCTGGGATGACCCAGAACTCATCTAAAGAACAGATAAATGGCATTTTGACTTAAAAGTAAGAAATGTTCACATAAACTGAAAAATTTGTAGTTCTCTGATGAAATAATACATGAACTCTTTTGCCAAGTAATTCACTGTCAAACTACATGCTAGACTTTAAAAAATAATATAGTTAATTGCCAACCACTGTAACCTTTGGATGCACACAGTACTCAGCTTCCACAAATCTTATCTTCATGATACAAAAAATATCTCTGCAACTTAATCTGCAAGGAATAGAACATGTTTACCTATGCAGGACTAGTAGTACAGCATAGTAAATATTAAAACTGGAAAAAAGGGGCTGGAGCGGTAGCACAACGGGTAGGGTGTTTGCCTTGCACGCAGCCAACATGGCCGACACAGGTTCGATTCCCAGCATCCCATATGGTCCCCCAAGCACCGCCAGGAGTGATTTCTGAGTGCATGAGCCAGGAGTATCCCCTGAGCATCACTGGGTATGACCCAAAAAGCAAATAAATAAATAAATAAATAAATAAATAAAACTGGAAAAAACAATTGGAATAATAGCAAAATAGTTTAACATTCCATAAATCCATACAACAGCCTGAGGTCTAGTATTCGTTGGCTGGCTTAAAAAAAAAGAGGAGGGTATAAATATAATTTCATGTATACCCTCCTCATCTACTTGAAAAACTATCAACTGTTTTTTTGTTTGCTTTTTTACATTTTAGGGAACCATACCCAGCAGTGCTCAAGACTTACTCCTGGCTCTGTGCTCAGGGATTACTTCTGTTGGTGCTTGGGGGACCCATATGTGGTGCTGGGGATTGAATCAGGGTCAGTTGCATGCAAGGTAACAAACTTAACCCCTATACAATTTGACCCAAGAAGAAACTGTTTTTAAAAATTGCAGAAGCTCAATTGTCTACAGAGGACTGGTCTAACTAGGCCTCATTCTTATTTCACAGCAGGTTTTGGGGGACCTCTGATGTCAGTGCCTCAGGGCTAGGATGGTGGCAGTGTGTCAGGACAGACAAAAGCTGAAACACGGATCTCCAGTGTCAAGTCCTTGTACTGCTTCCTCGTACCTTCTAGAGATGTATTCACATATCTAAGACTCAGTTTCTTTCTGTTTTATATAATAGAATATCTATTGATAATATAGTATCTCTATAATATCTATTTTGTATGGTTGATAAGGGGCTGGAGCGATAGCACAGCAGGTAGGGCATCTGCCTTGCACGCAGCCAACCCGCCCGACCCAGGTTCGATTTCTCTGCCCCTCTCGGAGAGCCTGGCAAGCTACCAAGAGTATCTTGCCCAATGGCAAAACCTGGCAAGCTACCCATGACATATTCAATATGAAAACACAGTAGCAACAAGTCTCACAATGGAGATGTTACTGGGCCCGCTCGAGCAAATCGATGAACAATGGGAGGACAGTGCTACAGTGCAGTGCAGTGGTTGATAAGATGATGATTTGTTAATTTAGATAATGGAAAGTCCATAGTACTTTCCTATAGTAAGTGCTCAGTAAATGTTAGATGCCAATATTAATGTCTCGCCAGTTATAAAGATGTTTGTCCTTAGGGATAATCAGAAATTTAGCTCTACTGCTAATTCCTGATTGGCTTCCCCCAGGCAGTCACAATTAGTGAGAATCCCCGAGTGTTAAAATGAACCAAGGGTGGTGTTGGGCTACCCTGAGCAGGATGCTGGTTCACCATTTCTCCCTCCTTCTACTTACAGGTTTGAGATAGGCGACATTGCTCTGACGAATATCATTCAAGAGCTGGTCTCTGGGGGTGATTTCAACCAAGGGAGGTGGCCTATTTTTCGGCACTGGCTTGAGGGTTTTGATGACATCCTTGAGGTTGGTTTTCTCCTGTGGGTCCCTGGCTTCCGGCATCCGAGATTTGCGCTGGTTCTTCTTCAGCTTCACTACCCGGAAGGAGTCAGGGTCTGTCCTGTACTGCGGAGGCTGTGACTGATTTTTCATCATCTCATTTTGCCGACCAAAGGGGACTGCCTGGGGGTTTGGAGACTGAGGAGACTGGAGGAATTCCTGCATTCTAGGATCTGGTATTGGCCCTCCCAACATCTCCCACATCCCGGGTGGCAGCCCCAACCCATTCTCTAACATGGCTATTAATTTCCTCTGCTCTTTGAGTTGCTGCTGCTTTTGTTCTTCTTGTCTCTTCTGCCTTTGTTTATCCTGATTCCTGGTGAGCAGGTTGGTTACCACCATTCTGGGACCTGGAACCTCAAAATGGTAGCCCATCTTCAGGAGAGTGTTGTTGGCCTTCAATAGGCGGGATATTTCCATTTCAGCATGGTGGCCCAGCATGTGCCTCTGATTGTGAAACCGCAGTTCGGTGAGTGTCTCATTAAATTGGAGACACCTCATGATGGCCACAATGCCTTTACCGGTGATGAAATTGGACTCGATGTTGAGAGTGGTAATACTTCTATTTTCACGCAGCATGTTAGCCAAAGCAAATGCGATGTTCTCGTCGGCTCCGACATTTGCTAGACTGAAGGTTTTGACATGCTTGTTTTTCTTCATTGCATTGACAAAGTCCAGTAACATTTCTTTTGGGATGTTCTCAATGTTATTAAGGTTGAGTTCTGTCATTTCAGGATCGTTCTGTCTGACTCGCCTCAAGCTCCCATCCAGGTCTGTTTGGTTCCCTGAAGGCCTCGCACTCACCTTTAAAAAACTGGTATCTAGGGCTAACTTCTTAGGATCTAATTTGGATATTTTTTTCACACTTTTTTCTTGGGCCTCGGGCCCATCATTCTGCTTTCCAAGTGCCTTATTGGTTATGAGTTGGCAGTTGCTCTCACCATTTCTGATTATTTGCTCCTTTATGTCTTCCTCTTCTCTTTTCGTTTTTTCATCACTTTCTCCACTATTATTTTCATTATCTTCATCTTCATACTTGTCTGGTTTTTGGACATTATTGCTGCTCTTTAGTTTTCTATTATTTGCAATAATTTCACTATTGAGCTTATCTTTTAAATACTGGGACATATTTTTATTACTCTTGTCTAGTTCTTCGTGTTGCTTTTGAGTGTTTTCCTAAAAGAGAAATTTCTGAGGTTTAGAATACATAGAAGTAAAGAAATATGAACTAGAGCAATATCTATTGTAGGTGATAAAATTCATTATTAAGTAAAAGAGTATAGACTGGAGAAATACTACAGCAGGTAAGAAGTTTCCCTTGCATGCAAATGACCTGGGTTTGATCTTTGGCAGCCCATATTGTTCAAGCCTGCCAGGAGTGATCCCTCAGTGCGGAGACAGGAGTAACCCTTTAGCTCTGCCAGGTATGCCCCCAAAACTAAAAAATAAAGAAATAAAAGAAAAAGAATAAGCAAATAACTATGAATAGCATCTTATTTGTATGTACATATATATGCCTGTATAATGCCTATATATACATTTATATGACATATATAATATGTACTCAAGTTTATACATTCATAAGAAAAGTGTTGTCATGCTTGCCAAGTTAGCAGTTAGTGCTGAGGAGGTGAGATAACCATTAAGATAACTCTGGGGAGAGGTATTTGATGGATTTTCACTTTACTTATTTGACTTTTAGATGTTGTAAGTCTAGAGTGTTTGACTTATTTTTTGAGAGCCACAACTGGGGGTGCTCCAGGGCTACTCTCAGTTCAGGGGTCAGTCCTGGTGGTGCTCAGGGACCATGCAGTGCTGGAGGCTGAACCCAGCATCTGGCAGACCTTCTAATCTTTTTATTGTCTCTAGGGCCCTTGAGTTCTTCATTTTTTATTGGTTTTTTTTTTGGAGGGGGGACTCACCAAGAGGTGCTTGCCAAACCCCCAGCATTCCCAGTGATTCTTGGGTTAGGGCTCAAGAATGTGGTGGTACTTAGACCCTTGGGTGTTGGGGATTACTTGAGTCACCCTGCAGTGCTCAGGGTTCCCAGGGCTCACCTGGTGGCCCTTGGGGGAGACTATGAGGTACCAGGGATGAAGGCAGGATCAGCAGTGTGCCAGAGAGATGTGCTTTGACCTCTGAATTATCTCTCCTAGTCCACTTAAGTTCTTTTTTTAAAAAAAGGTGCATAGTAATAATTTATAACCAAAAGAAACATGTTCGTAGAGATACAAATAGAAACTCATTTTTGCTGTGTTTATCTGATTTCCTTACGTCAAAATAAAACCCAAATAAATTTGTTTTCAGGTTCATAGCATTTTAAAATTGTGTTTAATTCTAGAATCTATTAAAAATAACTTTCTTTAAAATCTCATGGAGTTATTAGCATATTAAAGTATTTGTTTCAGATAAAGCTAAATAGACATCTTTGCACTCAGTAGCCCTCAGCTACACAGTAGGTTTTTTTTTTTATTGTACTCCTAACTTAACTTTACATTCCTAAATTTCTTGAAAATCTTGTATGATGTGTACATCAAATGTCCTTTAAAGCATGGATTTTAGGAGAGATGAGAACTGTTTGAAATATACAAACAAAAATTGTACTTGAGTTATATCTTTCGCTCTATAAAAGGGACTCTGATTATCTCAAGGATGGGCTCACAAGACTAATCTCTTTTGGAGGAAAATGTCCAGGAAGCAAAGTTAGTCACACATGAGGGGCAAGACTGTACAAAGATTCAGAAACAGTTACTTTGTCTGAAAAAAGAAAATAGCAGTCATTAATCAACTATATTTGTTAGATTCTTAACCATTAGTTGGAATTTTATACAGTAGTACACTTAATAATTTCATTTTTAAAGCAGGAGTAGCAGTTTGATATAAGCAAGAATTTGGTTTTATTGCCCGTAAAAAACAAAACAACTAGGCTGGAACGAACAGTTGACGCCTGAACGCTCAAGCATACACCGCTGAATTTCCCAGAAGTTCCAGCAGGGGGAGCTAAGCATCAAGCTGTTTAAGTCATACCAACCATTCCATCATCCATCATTCCTCCCGTTGATCGTCGATTTGCTCGAGCGGGCCCAGTAACGTCTCCATTGGAGACTTTGTTGTTACTGTGTCTGGCATATCGAATACTCTCGGTAGCTTGCCGGGCTCTCCGAGAGGGGCGGAGGAATCGAACTCGGGTTGGCCATGTTGGCCGCTTGTAAGGCGAACGCCCTACCCACTGTGCTATTGCTCCAGCCCCCATATAGTGTGTCATATACCACCTTGAAGCTGATGGCTTTTATAGTGGCTTTTACTCTGATTGTAAAATACCTGCAAATGCTTCCTAAGCTCAAAACTGTTAAGACCAGAAATTCATTTTCTTAATCCAGGTACATATAAAAATTTTCCTCACCATGAAATCATCTTGTAGTTTTACTTAATTGTAATCACTGTGATAGCAATCTGACAAGGTATATGGATAACAGCAGGCATAAATAAATGAAACTTTACCTGGGATCCGAAGTCATTTTCAAATGGAGCATTCAAGAAACTATTCTAATATAAATTAACTTTATAGGTCCAACCACAGTTTTAGTTCTCAGATAAAGAACATACTTAAGAAAGAACTATCTTTTAAATAGCTTAATGGCTTCAGTTTCTAAGTGTCACTGCTATTATCCCATGCACTGTAGGAACTTTCAATACTTGACCTATTTTACTTGGAAGGTGTGTGGCAGGTCTTAAGGAAACAGTGAGACCCTTGAAATTATATGTCAAATATTGAATGTATATGGATATGCGTGAAGAACAGATTACAGAGACTTCATCAGCTATTTACAAAGGCCTTTCAGCTAGTAAAAAAGTTGAGGATATTTGATTCAGTAAGTATTATGTCTATGAATGTGTGTGTGTATGTGTGTGTTTGGGGGCCATAACCAGTAGTGCTCAGGGGTTACTTCTGACTTTGCACTCAGAGATCCATCCTAGAGGGCTCAGGGGCTCAGGGTACCATGTGGGGTGACAGGAATCAAACCTGGGTCGACCATGTGCAAGACAAATACCCTACCCACTGTACTATTGCTCCCACAGCCCTCCTACCCCGCTAAATATAGGTTTTTTTCAAATATAAGTTTTATATGTTTATATATATAACCCAAGAGCAATTTTTAAAAAGACATTTTCAAGAAATGAGCAACTTTCCCCTCAGAACTATATCACATAAGTACATCAGAAAACTCAAAACTGTAGTAGGAATGGATATCATGATTTAATCTTTAAGTGCAATAAAAGAAGACAAAACATGAAGTCTTGAAAAATGACAGTTACAAACAGGACACCTGCCAGCCCCAGCCACCATTTCTCTGTCGGACACAAATCCCTGGTTACCTCAGATGGCACAAAGGTGACAGGAACACGTTCATCTTCCAGCATACGTCTGGATGCCTTCTGCCAATACATATAATCAACCAAAGACTTATGGTCGAAGTTTCCTGTTGGCGGCTTGTCTGTCTGATCTTTCTGGATCATTCCCACAGGAAGCCTGGGGTCAGGGGCCATGACTTCCATTTCTGATTGCAGTTCTTTCAGCTCTTCGGGAGACAAATTGGCCAAGATTTCATCTTCATCAATCTCCCCATCAAAGAGATCTTCTTGATCGGAATTCCTGCTGTGTTCTGACATGATTTTTTTCCTATATTTTTCTATCTTACTAAAAAAGAAAAAATAATCAAAGATATATATATGTGTATATATATGTATATATTTTTTAATTCCCAAGAGATTTCTCCAGTTAACAAATATCCTGGGTCAACAGTCTCTTGAGAGAGAATTCCGCCCCTGAAAACTCCAGTGGTGCTTGCTGAGCAGCTAGGAGTGACTGCAGAGAACCTAATGCCGAATCTATATTAAGCAGAGCTTGGCTGGAGAGGGTCAATTTGTGGAACTACTACGCCACTCTCTTTTTGGCAACTTGAGTCAGCTGCGCAAATCCATCTGACATTTCAGTACAGCTGCTTAGTTTTGCCCATGAGTGACTAGTTTACAGAATCTCTGTAGAAAAAAAGACTTCTCCTCGGGCCATCATAGGATCACACACATTCATGCAGTCTCCACACACACATACACACACACATGCTAGAAGAAAGCAACTTCTTTTTAGTTAAATTTGGAAAACTTACAATACTGCAGAAGAAATATTCAAACAGCAACTTGAATTCTCCTGAAGTAAAAAAAATCAGTCAACTGTGGAAACTAAGCTCTTCAGACTTGCCTCTTCACGATGGTGTGATTCTGGATTCAGCAAATGACCCTGCACACAGCAAAGCAGAGGTCTGGCTGCGTTACTCATCTACTGTGTAAACTGAACCTTCACAGGATGTCCTTATTTGCATCTAGATCCTGTGATCTGACAGATGGGGGCAATCAGCACTTGAGTTTCCACTATGAAGAAATTTACTATGAGGAGCTATTTTAAATAGTATTTTTCTTATTAATAATTCTTAGAGGCCAAAATTAATAAAAAATGAATCTAAATTAAAATGTAAAAATAAACCCATTAATCTATGAACAGAAACCATGAAAATATATTATTTATAATCTCAGAGGGCAATATGGTATGATTAATCCAAATGGCAGATGTATATTTCTTTGGGCCCAGCAATCTCAGTTCTTGAAATATATCCAACTTATCCAAAAGAAATAACCTTGTATGTGTACAAATATGTGACTCCAGGAATATTTGATGGAAAGGTACTGTGTGTGTGGGAATTGAAAATAGCTCAAGTGTCCTACAATTGGGGATTGAATGCATAACTATGAGACATCCAAAAGAAGGATCCTAATAGGAAGGATTGGGTGATTGTAAGTTACACACTTGAAAAATAGCACTGCACTGCACTCTCCTCCTGTTGTTCATCGATTTTCTCGAGTGGGCACCAATAAAAGTAAAAAAAAAAAACCGGATTTTATAAGTTAAAAACAGATGATAAAAGATCACTGAGGTCACATGTCTGGTAAAAGCACAAGATGATTAACCAAAATATTGAAACCAGAACATGGAAAGATAGGAAATGTACTATCAAGATTCATGTACTTGCCTTGCATACAGACAACCCTAATTATATTCCCAGTACTACATATGGTCCCCTGACACTACCAGGAGTGATACCTGAGCACAGATGAGGAGTAAACTCTGAGCACAGCTAAGAATGCCTCTGTTCCCACCCACCTAAATTAAAATTGTTAGCTACCTGTAGTAAAATGTGGAAATTTGTTTCTTCTTCTTCCTTTCTTTTTTTGAGAGGGAGGGGTCACACCCAGCATAGCACAGGGGTTGCTCCTGGCTCTGCACTCAGGAATTACTCCTGGCGGTGCTTGAGGGACCATATGGGATGCTGGGAGTTGAACCCGGGTCGGCCATGTGCAAGGCAAATGCCCTATCCACTGTGCCAGCCCTGAAATTGGTTTCTTGACATTTCTTGGTATTAAGATATTTGTATAATAAACATATCAATTCCCAAAATTAACATTTTGGTAAACATAGAAGGGATAAAACGTAATAGTTTTTTTCCAGTCCTGTCTCTGAGACAGCTCATTTTGCTCTGAAGGTATGAAGTTAATAAGTTTCTGGTGTATCTTTCCATTCTTTTTTAAAATCTAATTTTATTTTTATAAAGTTGTTCAGAACAATTCATTACATTTAATATTCAACCACCAATCCCACCACCATGCACCTTCCCACAACCATAAGAGGGAAGTGTGATAAGATTGTTGTATTTCATCCTGGGGCAATTGAGTCCTTATGTAAGAGACTACAAACATATGTTCAACCCAAACAAATGTGTGCTACTTTTGGTATAGAATGTGAGAGGTCGCTCCAGGGATTCTGAAATTTAGAATATGACTATAGAGCAGATTTACTCGTGGGTAAGGCCTATGTTGCTCCCTTCTGGGAGCTTTATTTCAGAGTCTCTGGATCTTGGCTCTTGATGAGATTATATGGTGCTGGGGGGTGGGGGAAGTTTGTTGGTGTGACTGCCACGCTACTAGAAAACTTGGGAGCTGGGGGGAGGAGGCCCAGTCTCGATTCAAGCAAGCTTGTCTTTCCAATTCTTGATGCCATTTGTGTACATCCATTCTTCTCAACTTCATTACAGAAAAGAGGCACTTATACTTACAATGCTGTTTTGCACTTTACTATATTGAATAATTGTGTATATCTATCATTTTATCTATGTGAGAGAACGTATAGGATATGTTCCTAAGAGTGAAATTGCTGGCTCAAGAGGAATGCATACTTGTCCTTTCCTTTGACAAAATTATTTAGAGGGGCTGGGGTACAGTAAATACGGCAACTGCTTTACCTGCTGATCTGGGTTCAATTCCCAGTACCGAGTTCCACTAGGATTGATCTCTGAGTGCAGAGCAAGGAGTAAGCCCTGAACACTGTTGGGTGAGATCCCAAAATAAAAACAAACAAACAACACAACACCTCCCCACAAAAACAAAACAAAACAAAACAACAAAACAAAACTCAAACCAGTATTTATTTATTTATTGTGATTCTATTTTTTTTTTAATTAGTGAGACACCATGAGGTACAGTTGTAGACTTACAAATTTTGTGCTTGGGTTTCAATTATACAATGATCAAATACCCATCCCTCCACCAGTGCCCATTTTTCACCACCACGGGTCCCAGTATCCCTCCCACCCCCCATCCCCCCCATCCCACCCTGCCTCTGTGGCAGCGCATTCCCCTCTGTTCTCTCTCTCCTTTTGGGTGTTGTGTCAAAACAGTATTTAGAGGAAACTCTCTAAATAGTTGCACATAAGATTTGACATTTAAATTTGATTCTAATGAATTCCACTCATTTTAATGTGAATATATTTTTGAACAATCTTGCAGATTTAGAAATTTCTGTAGGGGTCCACTTTCAACTAACTTGCATCTCACTGAATGAGCTTAGGACATGGGTATGTTTATCCCAGCTGTTTCTACTGTGGGTTTTATCCACATGCTGACGGGGAAGGTTTTGCTGGTGTAATTAGCTCCATTTGCCACTCAGATGATTTAGTTGTGCTTTTCCTTAACCATGCTCTGCAGCTGCCACTGCTGCAATTTCTAACATCAGAATCAGTTAAAGGAAGCGGCTGGTTCTAAGACACTTGATGGCATTTCGTAGCATCTCTGGGGAAGATTGTTCAGTGCATGGGTACCCTCGAGTCAGATTTCTCTGTTTTGAGCCCTTGGAATCTGTACTTTTTAAAAGGCTGTCCAGGTAATTGGGATGTATACATTCATGGAATGAGGGAATAACAGGGCTGGTATGAGTCTTTCATTTTACAGATTAGGCTCAGAGAGCTCCAGAAACTCTGTATTTGACAAAGTTCAGAATAAGCTGCACTGTAGTACTGTCCTCCCATTGTTCATTGATTTGCTCAAGCGGGCACCAGTAATGTCTCACAACAAATTATGAGACTTGTTGTTACTATTTTTGGCATATCGAATACGTTACGAATAGCTTGCCAGGCTTTGCCATGTGGGCAAGATACTCTTGGTAGCTTGCCGGCATCTCTGAGAGGGGCGGAGGAATCGAACCCGGGTCGTCTGCATGCAAGGCAAACACCCTACCCACTGTGCTATTGCTCTAGACCAAAATATTTTAAAGGAATTTGGAAGAGGGCAGATACAGGAAAGACTCTCCAAACTCCTTGTTCCTTGAAGCAGGTGAAGTCTTCATGTGGGAGGAGATTCCCTATACCTGAAGGAAAGAGAATCTGTACATGCACAAATAGAGCGGGCTTGGAGAAGAAAGTGCATAAACAAGGCCTTGCTAAGTCTTCCAGATTACTACCTAGGATTCATTTTTGTCACATTTTCTCACAATTTTCTATTTCTTCATCACACCCAGTATAAATACACTAAGGTTTCATCCTTCTTGAGGTGTTCATTTCCTGTGAATATCCCCATGCCATGTAAGATCTGTACTCAGCTAACATATATACTTCTCTTGTTTTTTTTTTCTTCTTTTTTTGCTTTTTGGGTCACATTGGGCAATGCACAGGAGTTACTCCTGGCTCATGCACTCAGGAATTACTCCTGGTGTGCTTGGGGAATGAAAAGGGATACTGGGAATCAAACTGGGGTCGGCCGTGTGCAAGGCAAACACCCTACCCGCTGTGCTATTGCTCCAGCCTACTTCTCTTGTTAATTGTTTTTTAGTCCTATGAACAGGACTCCAGAAAAGCATAGAAACCTAAGAAGTTAGTAGGATTTTTTTCCCCTTCCTTGCACTGTATAAGTCAAACTTGATGCCTCGGATACTGTAAAAGTGAGGCAACATATGTGCCCATCTGATAGAATTTTTGAGAAATGCATGGCAAATACTTACTAGCCAGACTAGGAGTTTTTGTTTGTGTGTGGGACACACCTGACTTTGCTCATGGCTTATTCCAGGCTCAATGTGAAGGGATCACTCCTAGGGAGTGGATTGAACTCATGTCAGCAAGACAAGGGCTCTGCCTGCTCTACTATCACTCCAGCTCCCTATTAATGTTACACTTTCACAAATAAATTACATGATTCTCTTATAGCTGAACCTAAGAAATATTGACTAAAACAGCAAAAGGAATAGGCTTAGAAATTCTATTCTCTTCCCCCCCAAAACCAATAGGGTACAT